AAATTGAAATATTAATGAAGAGCTGTTATTAGAGAAGAGTGATTATAAAGAATTGTTATCTATATTTATGGTTCTTAGGAAGAACAAAGGATGTTGGGAACTGTTGTACTCTCTCGACTAATGCAAAACTACAAGAATGGCCAACAACTAGGGCTTAAGAACAATTTAGTGTGCATATGTCTTGAACAATTAGCCAATGCTAGCGCTCCGTATAAACAGTGGTTAACGTTGTGTCTTGCACAACTATGGTCTGATTATGATAAAGCTCGTTGGGTTGGTGTACGGGATATAGCTCATGAAAAACTTTACATTTTACTGGAAGATAAAACACCAGAAGTAAGTTAAAATAATATTATTGGCCATAATTATGTATTGTTGGACAATATGCTTTTTGTGTATTAACTATGTATAGATTGTAAAATATACCTTATTATATTTTAATAAAAAATTTAAATCAATTTTTAAATAACAGTGAGAAAACAATTTAATATTTATATTAAGAGTACTTCCTGTTGTACCCACATGTGTGTTATCTGTCTTACTAAAGCATAATATAACAAAATTTACATTCAGTAGTTCTAATTTTGTGTTTATATTAGAGTGAATTAAACTATTCTTAAACATAAAGGTAAGAACATTATATGTGTTCTCTTGTTGGTTTTGTTTTAGGATTTTTTTAATTTTAAGCAAGCTATTAGTATATAAATAGTCATATTTAAAAATGTACTGGAACAACTAGTGCTGGACATTGGCTTGCCTAATCCGGATCACGGATTGAAATACAGAATCCGGATTGGCGGATTCAATCCGTTTTAACCGGATTCGCGGATTCAATCCGTTTTAACCGGATTCGCGGATTCAATCCGTTTTTCGGATTAACGAATTCAATCCGTTCTCCGGATTTACGGATTGAATCGGTAAGTCCGAGTAACAAGTTTAATTTATAAAGCTGAATTAATAATTTAAAAATAACGGAATTCCCGTCATCTGGTTATACTAATAGATTTACTCAATAATTATCTTCTCTTTTATAAGAAAAAGGAATTTTTATTTTTAAACCAGAATCCGGATTGAATTATCTAATTCGGATTCATATCAAAATCCGGATTGGTTATATAATCCGGATTGATAATTTTTAATCCGGATAAACAGATTAATGACGGTTGTTTCAAACCGGATTGATCCGGATTGGTAATCCGGATACGGATTTATCCGGATTTGATGTCCAGCACTAGGAACAACCCATTTATGTTCCTTTCAATGTTTAATATCAGCAAATATCTCAAAGTAATAATTAAATTGTAATTTTTAGGTTCGGGCTGCAGCAGTGTTTGCTCTTGGGACTTATGTGAGCTGTGATAAGGACCGTACTAACTATGCTATAAAAGTTGATCTAAATATTGCTTTGACTTTATTAAATACAGTCGCTAAAGATATGAGCCCTATGGTCAGGGAGGTAATAATTAAAAGCAATTGCATTTTGTTAATTAGCTATTTATTAATTGTATTCTAATATTATATGTTACGTTTAGGAAGTTATAATTGCTCTCCAATGGACTGTTATCACATTTGAAAGATATTTTTTAGAAATAGCAATGCAGGAACAAACTGAAAAGTCATATGGATCTATTTATAAAAGTATGCTCAGTAATGAATTGGACATTTATTGGTAGATGAACAAAAATCAATTATTATTATGAATCCTGTTACAGGTCCAAATGGAAGCTCAAAAACTGCTAGTCTGTCGAGAATGGGATCCAAAGAAAAGATATCGATGCAGCCTACTTGTCTAATAGTCACCGTAGTATCACCTCAAATATCACCTGGACCTAGCATTTCAGATGAAATGCAAGAAGAAACAAAATCTGAAAATTTGAGGCGAACAAATTCTTCCTCGTCAATAGTTACCTTAGGCATGTGTATTTTTTATTTTTACATTAACTCGACACCACTTTAAACTTTATTTTTGTCATTTAGATGCTTATCAAACAACATCAGCCTATAACAATAATCACTCTACATTATGGAAAGGTTTGACAGCTTTGGAGCACGATATATTCCCAGATGTTTCAGCCACTGCACAAAAATTAACTAAATACATTAGACAGAAGGTAAGTACTTAATGAGTGCATGCAATATTTTCATTTAAATTTTAATAATAATTGTTAACAATGGATATTTATTTTAATTAGCTTAAAAACAAGCCTGATAGTCGTGCATCACATTCATTACCTGCATCTCCATCTTCTAGAAGTTATCTCAGGTATGGAATTGATTAATTTCAATATTTGTGCTATTAATTATTTATTTGCATACACTATTTGTAAATGGTCTTTATGATGTATTTTAGTCAAGGAGATTCCCCTCCATTGTCTGTACATGAAATTCGTACTCGACATAGAGCACCATCAAGATCAAATTCTAGGACAAAAAAAATTGTGCCTAACACTGTATGTAACACTATTATATAAACAAATTGTTTTAGAAGAATAACTATTAATACATCCATCATGCGATTAGATTGTAGAAGAAACTACTGTGCTTTCATCATCATCTTCACCACCAAACATAGAAAGTGATAGTGAAAAGGACACAACAAATATAACTAAAAGCTTATTGAGATCTCAATTTTTCGAATGGGTGTCTAAAAATTTTGCTCACCCATTGAGTGGCATGAACGATGGTGGTGACTTTGAGAGTGCAATATACTATGAACGTGACTGGAGGTGACCGAAATTATATTAAATATTGTTTTGATATCTATTGATATAGTTAATAAATAATAGTATTAAATATTTAAATGGTTACAATTTATTTAATAGGTATACACGAAACATGATGCTTCGTAAAGAAGCACAAGAAGAACAAAACAAAGTAAATAATTTAAATTGTAAGATAGAACATCAAATATTCTCATCAAAATGTAAACAATCCCCAAATTCACTGGTATTTTTTCCATATGACCCACATGTCATTGTAGCTACAAAAGATTATTTAACGTAAGCACTAAATAATTAAAATTGTCTATTTCTATAGAAAAAGATCTGATAACAAATACTATTTTCTGTTATAACTGGTTTTAAAACATATTGTTTAAATTATAGAGTATGGGATTATCATAGTAGCTATAAGTTGTGCCAATGGAAACCAGATGTCAGAAGTCACAATCTTGATTTGTCATATAGATTAACTCCGCATTTATCTGCTGTAGAACTGATTAACAGCCACGATGTTCCTTTAGTGCTGGCTGGATACAATGACGGAAATATTCAAGTATGGTCTCGATGCATCGACGGTCCACCCAAATTGGTTTCCGGTTGGCATGCATTACCTATTTGCAAGAGTCCAAGTTTTGAGAGTTCTTCGAGTTAGCAAATTTAATCTTTACAAATATTGATGTACCATTAAGTTTTATACATTGTGTTAATTTTTACTTTACAATTTTTAGTGGCTATGCAATGGGATCAAAGGTCATGCCATTTAATTTGTGCAGGCGATTCAAGAGTTATTAAAATCTGGGATATTGAGACTGAAACTAAACTGACTGCTTTATCCACGGGAGTTAATGCTTCTGTGACGACTATGTCCATGCAATCTAAAGGTAATTAAGAGTTAAACTATTATTTACCAAATAATGATCAATCAACATCTAAACACAGTTTATATTTTACAAATTTACAATCACTTTATTTAATCCAAATCCATATGATTATTAGGAATGGAGTGATATATGGTCATAACTCATAAGTCAAAAGTATACTTATACATTTTATAGCAGACTCTTAAGATTTAAAAATTTACATTCAGGATCTTTGTTTTGATTTGATAGACTGGAAAAGTAAGAAAAAAAAACCAATTAATAATTTTTTTTTTTATTTGCTTCCCTGGCAGCCATCTGCTTCTAATTACGAGAGAAATGTGTATGACCATGTATAATATTATTTAGAAGTATGTTTAGATAAAACCATGTGTATAAATCTATATCCGTGGATAAAACTCATTTATATTTTGATGAATAACTAACTAATTAGTTATTATCCTTTTTTGTCTAACAAATCAAATTATTTAATAAATAGTACAGTAAAAGTTATTCAATAGTGCAAAATAAATATTTAAATATCTTAGATAACACTATTTTGATGCAACTAATATAGGTTACAATTGTATTTTTCTGTATACTAATGGTCTTTTTTTACAGAAAATAATATATTTGCTGCTGGTTGTAAAGATGGGTCAATTAAAGTATTTGATAAAAGACTTCCACCAGACGAAGCAAAAATAGCTTCTTTCATAGGACATCATAGTAAAATACTCACTTTAAGACTACAAGATGCTACAGTAGTATCTGCTAGGTAAGTACATTTTTCTCACTTTATCAAATACATGTATTTAATGATTAATTAATATAATAGTGCTTATGGAGATATAAAAACATTTGAGTTTGGCCATAATGCACCACAGCATGAATTTCATGTCAACAATATGCAATCTGCAGCTATTCACTCGATGTGCAATATAATAGCATGGTAAGTATAAAGCGTGTTTAAAAATAACTATATATATTTTTAAAACTATCTTATTTTATGTTTAGCAGTAGTATAAATCAGATGTTGTTATTCTACAACACAGAGGGTCAGTTGTTAAACTCTTTGAAATTAACAGACTGGTTCATGAGTACACGTTATTCACCATTAATGACCACCAAGTTTCACCCACAAAAAGTGCTACTTTCTACCGGGGCTATGGACGGAACTATAGCATTATACTCAATTGATCCCAAAAGATGATGAACGTATAAACTTTTTTGTTTTTTTTTCATGTTAATTAATGTTTGTTATTCTTTTTCTAACACTTTAAATATTCATGACACTTTCTTTTATTGTGCTCAAAAATTGCTATTCGACTGAACATTGGTTTTTTATGTACTTGGCATTTTTCTGTACATAAAAAATTAACTTATTATTATTATTTTTAAATTAATACTATGAATATTATTGTTGTTACTCTGTTAATTGAATGTCTTGCACATTCTGCCATAAATCGTTTATATGTTCAAACACATAATTTAGTTCTTTATGACGGTTTACCAAAAAAAATTCTTGCAAATGAGCAGGGTTGACTGGTTTGTTATATTTTTTTATATCTTCCACAAATCTCTTTTTGTCGCCTTCTGTACCTTCTGGACGAAACCTAATGAACATTTGTGATAATTGATGATCTGAACAAGTCCCAATGTATTGTTTAAAATCAACTCGGCCAGATCGAATCAGTGCAGAATCCAACCTAAAATACCATTTGACCATTATTTATGTTGAGGAATGTTTTATTATTATTATTATTATTCACCTATCGACGTAGTTAGTAGTCATAAATAGTATTCGGCCTTCAGATGATACGACACCATCGAGAGCGTTTAGCAAACCGCTCAACGTCACTTTAGTACTGCCCTCTGTCGCAAATTAATAATGGTGATTAAAAAATTGCATACGGACACTAAAAACACTGTTTTACAAGTATGCGTATAATATACCTATGACAGTTTTTCCGTCTCTATTGGCGAACATTGCGTCAACGTCTTCCAGGAGCACGAACGACTTGGACGGCACTTCTCCCATCAATTGAACGAGTTGATCGTCGGACATTTTAGAGTCGTTCAGGCTTAATACGCACAAGTTGTACTTGATATCGCCAGCCAGCGCCATGATCAAAGATGTTTTGCCACAACCCGGTGGCCCGTAGAGCAGGTAACCCCTACGGTACGGTATTCCTAGAACGCCGAAACAAAATTTTATTTCGTACCATATAGTAGATAAGTTTACAGATTTACATACCCCTATCTAGGTACCAAGACTTGTCGTTCACAAAGTTGTGTATGTCCTTAAGTATGTTTTCGATCACGCCCTCGTCCAGTATGACGGACGACAACGACCGTGGCGCCCGGGGCTCGCCGAAGTTGTGCCACACGTCGTACGAAGGCACCATCAGAGTGGTGCCTGACTCCATGATAGACATGGCGTACAATCTGGCTGGAGGAATGACAATGGGACATATTTTACAAAATACACCTTATACATGGTACTCGCGCACGGCGTTAAAGAGCATTTAAGTTACATAATGCAGATAATATTATTGAAAACTACCTCAGGTGTAGCGGTTACTCACCCTCTTCCAGAATTTCATTCATCACTTGTCTGTTTCGACCCCAAGTAGATAAGTTAAGCGTCTCGAACGGTCTAGAACCGTACTCGTTGGACAGTACCGTGCTGCGATCACGTTTTACGCGTATCGTATGACCTTTGTACCTGAAAAGTTATAATATGGTTAATCGTTGCAGAGCGTTTAACTATTAAAATATCGGCTGAATTAATAGTTATTGGTTGTACAGTAGCAAGACTTAATCGCGAATGGAAGTATAAATGTGTAAGCTACGTTTGTAGTATGGTTGCGATTATGATTGTCCGAGCGAGGGTAGCATAGATACCCATTACCCTGGTTACAATAGGGTTTCAAAAAGTATAGAGACCCGGTTTTTTACTGTTGATTATTTAGAGGGTGATTCTCTTGAAAATGTTGAAGTATCTAAATCAAAATTCTAATAAGTAGTTTCTGAGTTATTAAAATATTTATACTAATAGGTCTAAGGATAACAATCCTTAAATATGGTTTTACAAAAATATAAACTATATGTAATATCAGATGTAAGTAGTATTCGTTATACTTAAATCATTTTTACAAATTATTTATATTGATAGATTAATAGTAATTATTAACATTTTCAGATCATCTAAGCCCCCAAATCTACTTTATTACTTAAACCTATTGCCATAGTGCATGGACATATTATTCTTAGTACCTTGACCCTAACTGTCGTAGCTATTTTCAATATTGTTTCTGCTTGAGTTTCAATTAGAGTTTTAATAACAATTAACATAATATACTACTGGTTCATTTAAATATCAACAGATTATCGTGCTCAAATTATCATTCGATTAAATCTAATAACGTTGAAAAAAAAATAAAATACCGCCAAATTTCGCCCTCAATCGTATTTTACCGGTTTAAATCGCGATCATCCCTTCATTCGCTAGGTATGCGAAACCACCTCGGGAAAGTCACAGAGTAATTACCAATTTCGTTTTCAGAGTATGAGTGGCAACGTACCTATATAACAGAAAATATTAATTTGAAATGTGATTAAAGTCAGAAATTGTACAGAGCTTGAACCCGATAGGTTTTAGAGGGTATTAGTATTTTACTAAAATTATAAAAATAATATACTTTGTTCAATTCGTTATTTAATATATTCAGTGTATGGTGTATTGGTGTTTAACATTTATCTTAACTTTTCTGTTGTCTGGAATAAAAATTCTGATTCGTAGCAGTATATTATCAGGTAGGCGATCTACCTGCGGTAGATCGCGGACCCAGTGCTGTTTGTACGTAAGTATAATATGATTTAACTCTAAAGTATCAAAGTTATATCAAGTTTATTTTGATATAATACGGTGGATTAATATAATCAATTAATACATAATTCTAACCTAACCGTAATAAATCCTATGAATAAAAAAACCAAATTTAACCCTTTTTAAATTAGCAATGTTCAATAATTCAATTTGATGCAAGCTTGTGATGTACAGTTGTACCTGATCTGCCCGAATAACCAATGGCAACCAATAATAAATAAATACTAATTTCTACTGTAGACTGTAACCAATGGCTACTATTAGTAAATAAAAATAAATTTTCCAATTTCCATCGTGAACCTCAATGTCCCTGTTCGAGCACCTATTTAAAATGCGAATTTTGGCAAATCCTTTCTTATTGCACGGTGAAAATATGAGAAGAACTTCTATTCCAAATTTCGAGTTCGTACGTTGCGTAGTTTTTGAGTTACAGCGATCAGTGACTAAGTAGTATTTGGATTTTATATGTTTAGATTAAATCAATAACACTATGGTTCTCTCGAAAGTACACTTTCGATCGACGAACCAATGGGACATGGGTTAATGAAGGTACCCAGTGGCGTATATACGAATTATTTTCACTATGGGCCAATTTATCAGTTATCACTAGTCAAGAATAGCACAACTAATATAGCCATAACTATACATTTTTTAGAGAGCTGGGTGGTTATAATTATGACATATACAGTACAAATAAAAATTACGCAATTTAATTATTATGTAAAATTATTTTTTTGATTCTTTTTTAAAAAATATTGATAGTGTCATTTATATATTTTAATTTTTAATGTTATCTTACTATGAATTTAACATCAAAGTCAATTATAAGTTATCAAAGCAAGTCCTGACCATCTAACATTTCCTTGTTGATTCCTCAAAAACGATTTTAATCAACCGGCTAACTTAATCATGGTGAAAAACTATAAACAGTGTAGATATACATGCAATGCTTTAATTGAACCTGAAATTTCACTATGGGCTCTAGCCTAGGGGGCCTCCCCCCTATATACGCCACTGAAGGTACCGGTGATGTGTCAAGTTAGCATTGGCATATTTGTATTCTGATTTAAGAAAATCCTGAAAATATCAGATTACCAACAAATGACCAGGTAGTTATTTTTTGATACTTTACTTAAGGTCATATTATAATCATAGCACAAGGTGCCTGTGCCAACCTGACTTCTATACATGTATACCACTGTGAAATAATAAAATAATAATAATAAAGTTACGAGGCGTTATGTCATTTCGGTTTCAGAATCAGATTTACTTGAACATGTGTTCGCCAGCGTTCGGTGAATAGTCGAATTTCGAAGTCGCATGGGCGGTCTCGGTGTTTCGAGAAACTGTAGTCACGCTGAAGTGCAGTAGTTGTTGGTTGTGCTTGGAAATCCACTGCAGCAGCCAATTGTAAGACTTATCTGAGTTGGAAACTTCAAGCTCGGTGACGTAGTTGCGCCAAACGTACCGCTTAATCAGTCCTATCGCCTCGTCGATGACTATCGACGCCAGGCTCAGGCCGACCAGTCCCACAACCTTGGATACGGTCTTATTGGAAACAGTGGCCACTGCAATGTGCTTTAACCTCTCCGAACTTGTACTGCGCATTTAACACAAAGCATTAATTATTAAGCATACTTAGTCAAACTTGATAAAAATATAATAGGTAGTTACCTAAACTAAATACCCATCATATTATATGTAATTATGTAAATATGTAATTATAATAGGTAAACTATATTACTACAAGACCCTATACAATGGATTTAAATGTTAAATCCTCGAAAGCTCGAAAAATGCAATAAAAATAATATATACCTACCACCTACGTAGATACCTATATAGCATTAAAGCAGTGATTTTCAACCGATGTGCTGCGACACTTTGGTGTGCCTCGAGCTTTTAAAAGTTTTTCTTCTAATAATTATGGGTACTTCATACAAAATATATAATATAGTAAAATATTAATATATACAGTGTGATTCTTTTATCAAACAACACTCATTATTTCAAAAAGTGTAAATTTTTTTGAAAATATTTTTTTTTTATAGTTTCAAGTCGCTTATAAAACAACGTTTTTATTAAAAAATTATATTTTTAAATTATTTTTTATCCTTATAATTTTTTAAGTTTTTTACTTTTTTGAATAACAACATAGGGTTTTAATTTTATATTCCAAAGCAGAATATTTTTCTTAGTATTTTGATACATGAAAATCGAATTTGGGTTGAGCAGTTTATGAGTTATAAGTATTTAAAGTTTAGACGAGCGGAGTGGTGTGGTTCGGGGTTACCCCGCGAAATGTTTGTCCACTTCACCCGAGATTAAATTTAATCTATTCTGTGGTTCGACCACGAGCCGGGCGCCAGAGAACACATGTTCGAGTAAATCTGGTTCTGAGGCCGAAATAACATAACAACTCGTATCTGTATTTATAATCATTATTAAAATAAGGACCTAAAAAATGGTTTTTGATGAAGAAAACCTTATTCAAGACTGAGACAAATTAATATTATGAAAAGCACAGTGTGCAGTGTTTAAAAAAAAGTTGAAAACCACCGATGGATAGGTACAATGCTACAATTCGTATTATTCCACATTCAAGCAATATTGTGTTGCATAAAATATGTTAAAAATGAACTAATAGAAAAATTGATGCGTAGATAGTTTATTCTTTATAACTAACAATCAATTTTTTTAGCAAAAAATAAAAACTAATTTGCCACAAACTTCACAGGCTCACAGCCAATGGCGTAATTGGGGGATCGCAAGGGGTCGCACTTGCGACCCTATATATAATGTAGGGATTGCATAAATATAAATTTGCAACCCCTGAAATTTCCATATTATTTATGATTTTTCGTTAGTAAAAAATTAAAATAGGCTATAGTGCTATAGTTAATATTTAGTTATTAATTAACTATGAAAAAAAATTGTTGGAGAAGAAAATTGAAATCATATTTTATCAATACTTCAACAATGACAATATAACTGATTAGTGATTACAATTCACTACAATAAATAAAATAAAAATTAATCAATTTTTAGATTGAAACTTTTATGTCATCAATCATCATAATATTGTTAACACTTATCACATATCAGTATAATATCGGACGTTGCTGTTTCTACACGTTTGGTTGTATATTTGGTTAATCGTTTATTATATTATTGGTGAATTTTCGATATTGACGTTTGATTTTATTTTGATCAATTTTGCGTTTTGCCCCAATTACGCCACTGCCGACAGCCCTAATATGCCCATATGTTAATTAATGTCTTATTAATAAATAAATTATGATAAAATCAGAGGGTAAAACCTTAATACTTACGACATCGCTGCTTGCCGCAAGCTTCGTGTCTTATGATGCAGGACGGTCGTCCAATAGGTACTCCAAATCAACAAAACCAAATTATCATCATTGGACGTGGCTGGACAATAAACCTCAAATAGTGGATAGTCCTAAGATCACCGTATATTGCAATATTTTATGAAAATTGTTGGTCTGAGACATATGAGTACATAATATGGTAACTAATAACTATATGGTCTGAGAGATGAGTAATTGCGTCGGTATGCCGGATGGCGGCTTCACCTCATATAATTACCTATTATGCATAGTAATTATTATTGTTTGTTGTCCTTATCCAATGGTCGTCGTTCGAAGTTTCGTATAATATTATGTATTTTTTAAGGCTTAAATCGTGGTAATTAGAAAAAAAAGATCTATAAATCTATTAATTACGAAAAAAGTACAAAAAACTGTGGAATGTGGATTATTAAAAAACAAAATGTTATCAATACAGACCGGTTCGGCAGTGATAACGCACATGAACTACCATTCGTACTTGTTGTACATGGACGACGTTGTCCATGGTTACCAGTGTTACCACGGATTATACGCGCAACGATAACCATTAACCATAATGTAGTTTGTGTGGCCCGTTTCCCGTAGTCAGGCACACCTTTTTGATAGTTATTAACTGCCATTACTTATAACTTTATAAGAAACCCTGGATAATAAGTTTCTAATTTTCAAGATGTTTTACTTAAAAACAAAAATATTATTATAAATAAACTTAAAAATACTAATAAATGGGGAGGCTACGAAGTGTGTCAACCAGAAAACCTATTGATGTTATTCTAATTTCTCATACAATGGGCAAAAAAAAAAAAACATTTTCAGCATTCAAATCTAACAGTGTTATATTTGGTAAATATTTTTCTGTATATATTATTTTATTTTAAAAAGTCCTTTATATTTAAATATTTAGTTCAACCAATGAATCACAGTACTTATACAATATAAATTATAATAATGTTTAACCTAGGTACCCATCTAATATATTAGATAGATAATAATAAATATCTATACCTACGTATAATACTCATAATTAAATGTATAAACTATAAATATTTTATTGTTTGTCTAACCAATTGGCCTACATAATTTTTATTCTTTATAGATGCTGTAAGAAAAATATTCACGCATCAAAATGTTCCTGAACAAGAAATAATAAACCCTACAAAATTACATTTGGCACAAGCAAAGGCCTGTCTTGGAAAAAAAAAATAACAAAAAAGATTAAATTTATATTAGATACTCTTAAATAATTATATTGTACAGATAATTATTATATTCCTTACTGCATAATATAATATTTATAAACCCACCTATATATTCTAAAGTTTTTCATTTATATAACACAAATAGTATTTAATATTTACCTATAACAAGTAAATACGTTTTTTCTATTTAACAGCTCACCAATATTGTATGATACATTTTATTCAACATTTTATTCTTAGACATACTATAATATACTATATAGATATATCGTACATAGTTATAATTTTTAGTATTTTACTTAATTCTTATTATAATAACATGTTATTATACCTAAATCGGGCTAAATGTATTTCCTATATTAAAATATTAAATGTTCATTGTCATTCTGAATCTCTTATATTTGAGTACATGACTTACACAGAACTCAATAGAATTGTCAAATCTAAAATTTCCAATTTTCTAGATAGGGAACATAATATATAAGGTAGGTACCTATAAAAATTCCTATATATTGTTTTCCCAAATATTTAATAAATTAAATTAAATTAAACGTAGATTGACTTCTTTGTAACCTTGCATGCTGCCATTATGAATTATGATAATTATTATAGAATATTAAATACTAAATAATAAGTGCTTGGTCTCAGCTTCATGCACTGAGCAGTGAATATTTAACACAAAGTATGGCAATCTACGATAGTTCAATTTTTTAGCAAGTTTTGAGTATATAATATAGCGTAAATTAAAAATGCTCATAACTCACTCAAAAACCAAATAATCGTAAAAAACCTACACAAGAACACGCACAATGTTCGTACCATCAAGTTTCATAAATCATAATAATATATCGATTCAAGTTAATTTTTTAACTAACGGAACTAAACGGGATCTGCTGAGCGTACATTTACTATGTTTCCGTTTTACAAATGTAAAACATAGAAAAAATCGTTTTGCACGGGTAAGAAACTAAGAACCACTCAGGTTGTAGTTGAAGGTTAGCAACCAACTCACACTAGAAAAAGGAGAACATTGACTGTGCAATTTTTCGATATCACATATAGGAAAAAGCTTTTATTGTTTAAAAATGCATTATTTTTTAGTTTTTCAAACTTGAATAACTTTTTTTTAGTTCTGATAAAAAAAAACAACGTTACACAGTAAAAAATGTTCTCCTCTTTATAGAGTGAAAATTTGGTTGCTTAGCTTAGACTATAGCCTGAGTGGTTCTTACTTCTTATAATCAACGCAAAACAGTTTTTACTAAGTTTTACATTTGTAAGACTGAGACAACACATGGCGGCTGCATAGCGTCCCCTTAATAGTTTATTTTATAGGTTGTAATGTAGTATACAAAACATTGAAACATTCCTGTTATAAAACACCCACATTACATAATATACATAATATAGACGTATTTTACTACACTGGGTAAGTAGACAGTAGCTACTAGCTATAGTATACTGTATAAAATATGGTAGCTCGGGTACCCATAATAATTATAGGCAATATGTATTATAAAATGTATTTTAGTAATAAATCTGAAATATTTTACCTATACATGTAAAAAAAAATATATTAAAAATATTATCTACAAATTTTTCTTAAATATTGTTAACTTACTTTGCTGGCCAAAAAATGTTTTTAACACATCTAAAAACGGTATGACAACGTAATGAAAAATTGAAAACCATTTAAAAACATTTTTATTTCCTGAAAAAAGTTTTTAATTTTCTGTATGAATTTATTTTAAATATGTGTTCAAGGATTTTGAAAGTTGTCAATATGGCCGTTTTGCATCCAGCCGTTCGTTCCATGAGGTATGGAGGTAGTATTAAATATTATAGTGATGGATAGGTTTTTGTAGTTGGTGTTATGAAATTGTAAATATAGTTTTCCCTCATATCGGACTATATATAAATGTACATAATATTATTACCTATTTTGAAAAGAATACTTTAAATATTATTGTGGTTATACTCTGTTATTGAATGTCTTGCACATTCTTCTTTACATGTTCAAACTCATAATTTAGTTTTTTATTTTGATCTACCAAAAAAAAAATTCTTATAAATGAGCTGGGACGACTGATTTGTTTTATATTCTTATACCTTTCGGCTTTCAAAAATCTCTTCTTGTCGCCTTCCGTATCTTCTATGGACGACTCCTAATGAACATTTGTGATAGTTGATAAGCTTTCCCCTATGAAGGTTCTGTTTGAAATCCCCTCGGACAGATCGAATCAGTGCAGAGTCCAACCTAAAATAACCATGTATTGTTAAACTGTATAAAAGTAAAAATGTAAAAAAAGTTATTTGAAATTATAAATACGCAGGTATATATTATATATATTTTTTAATTTTTACTATAATTGTACAGCTGTGCGATCAAAAACAAGGACCCGTATATCAATCTGGAAATGTATCGACGTATCGCTGAAAATAAAGCCAAGTTTCCAGCTCCTAGAGAAGTTAAAACGTCACCAAAAACCATTTATAAGTCGAAAGTTGAGTTTGGTCCATGGTACACAAATGAGTTACAACAATACTTCCAGATCATAGGAGTGAAATTTTTTTTTTGGCCGGGAGTATTCACCACTGTAGCCGAAATTGTTGCAGGACTATTATAAAAGGGCCAATATTGACGAAAAAATACTAAGATTGTGTCGGCGTTTCCGAATACTCCTGAAGAATAGTAGATATAGGTACTCACCAACTACTTAAGTCAGAATTCGACAATTTTTTTTTATATTTTATAGGACAGCAGTGTTTATAAAATATTATTACTTGATAAGCATTCAGAACAAGTTGAAAAATTAATAATAGTAGGATGATTATGTATGTTCTGGAGCACCGCCCCCTTAAATTTTACATGTAAAATCATAGGCTGCTCTGTATAGGCAATTCGAAGTACATGCACCGCTCAAACTTGCATTAATTACTCAATATAGGCAACCCGCAACACACATAAACTCGTCACACGTCACCCCATCCTACACGTGACCGACATATATTTTACCCCTTCCCCTTCAAATACATTACCTCCCCTTTTATTTACCATTTAAAAAATATATATAATATTCTGATGTACATTTGTATCGACTATATCGAACACTTGCACGACATATATTTTACCCCTTCCTAATCAAATACATTACCTACCCTTTTAAAAATATAAATATAATATTCTGATGTAAATATGTATCGACTATATCATACATACTAATAATATAATATAAGGTAACAACATAACACATATCTAAAAATATTATACCATTTTCAGATTATAATCCCATTCGAACCTAAAGCATCTCGCTAAAGCATGCTTTATACATCGAAATGTATCACACACACACACACACACATGGTCACAGTTATAAGAAATAAAACATTCCAATCCAACAAAGTACCACCCTAAATTATATTTTACACCCCGCCACCCGTCCTCACACCATAACAACATCATCCGACTACAGACCTGTACAAGCCTGTAGTGACACGTCCGAGTATTGTCGATGAATTCCAGCCATAATGTACACAGAGCAATATGAGATTAGTCCGTTTACTACCGTTCAAGTGTCAAGTCGAGTTATTTCAGAGTTCTTAAGTGTTTTAAAGTGTATTGTGTATACAAATATTTTACAAGTTTTATAAAAATCAAATTATTTATGTTACTTTAATGAACACCGTAGTTCATTTTTTCACCACTAGTTCTGATATTAGCGCATACGTTAATAATTCGCTTAGATAAAACTAATTTCACACTGTTATTTAAAGTACAATATATTTTTCTATAATTCATTACCCATCTATTCGTTGAAGGGTAAAGACTTGTTTTGCGAGTTCGACTAGTATTCTTCAGTTTTTCATCAAACGTAATCATGTTCCCGTGTAGTATATGTGGTAAAACCTTTACTCGAATCAGTAGTCTACACAGACATGCCAAGTCACACGATGTTTCCAACAAGATTTCATGCAGTATATGTTCAGAAATATTCACACGGAGAGATAGTCTCATCAGACATACCAAGGATAAACATCGTAAGTATTTTTTAACTATTTACAGATTTATTAGATAATATATATATATATATATATAATCAAAGCTACGTATATCATGTTTAATTATTTAATACAACATATATACATTATACTACCTAAAGGAAATATTATAATAATAAAGGTGTTAAATAAAATGTAATTTATTCCATGAATTATTTTTTTCAAGTACCTATCCAAAATATTACTATTTTTCAGGTTCAAATATTGTAATTCAACAACAACCTACCATAACCAAGCAAGAAATTCAAGACTTTTTTACACCAGCTGAACACATTTACGATTATAATGGTAAATATATTATTCATAACTTTATATATATATATACATACCTATTATATAACTTACTTAGCTAATTATAATATATTAGTAACTTTATAAAAAATAGAACACTTCATGTACAATTATTACTTTATCGCTGAATTAAAATAAATATTACTTTATAAAAATTATATAAAATATAAAAATATACTAAGTCGTATAAAATCATAGAAATGTACACAAAATCGTGATAAATCCTATAATCATCATAGTTAACCCGTTAAGATCATATTATGTATATATCTTATAAATGTTCGTAAGATGTCAATAATTTTGATAAATACATGTAATAATATATTATTTGAAAATATTCCATACGATTAATGGCATAACGTATTAAAAACATACATAAATAATTTAATTTATTATATATTATATTTGTTAAGTATATAAAACAGATATTTTTAATAAATATATCTGATCATTTTATACATATATAAAAATACATATGATATTTTTATTTTTCTATGAAAACATATACACATTTACTATAATACCAATAAAAACCATAAATAGGCAACCCTTTTATATAAATATCTTAATAAACTATTATGAACGCCAGTGTATATACATCTTACCTTACTATTATTTCATGCTACACCAAAGAACGTCGTGTATTATTACTATAGCTGAGAGGTCTATATCATATTTGTTTTTGCTTTTACATATATAATATATACATGTGTGTAATACAAGAGCTTGATACCTACCTCATTTTGTATATTTTAAAAATCGTATTTTCTATATGATAATCACATTTTTTTTTTTAAATTCTTATTTGCTTCCGGTACTTTTACTAAAAAAAAAAAAACCGTTTATATTTATAAAAACAATTTATCTTTTCTATCCCATTAAAAACTTTTTTAGATTTTCAAGCTGTAACACGCGTTTATATAATGTTTAGCAATACAATAGTAAAATTATTTTTTTTCAGTTCAATCTCGTAATGGTAATAAGCGTCCATATCATACTGAAAATTCGAACGAAGCAACATATGCTAAAAAGACACGCATGAGCATCGTCAAGACACGAGGATTCATTAAGACAGGCACATCGTTATCGAATAAAATCAATTGGTATTACGTGAAAAATACAGATAATTTGACCACCTACAGAACATTTTTAGAATCAATAAAAAAAGACTTAATAGAACTACTAAAATCACTTTCAACAAAACAACCAATTAAATATAATCTTAAATTAGAAGCAACATATGAACGCCCGAACGTGGAAAATTCAGCAGAGAATAGAGCATTTAAGACCTCAGCTAAGGAATTGTTTATAGATACAGATATCGAAGCTAAAATTAATCAAGATTTTGCAAATCTTTTGTTAGAAGAAGAAATTTATACTTCTAAAGGAAGTGGTTTTACGTTACAATCAATAGATGGTTTACTGTTAGGAGTATATAATTATACGCCTATGTGTGGTTCGTCTTATATTACACTTCCAGAGGACATTAAAAATAAAAAAGCAATTATCAATCCCCAAAACTCGGACCAACAGTGCTTCAAGTGGGCAATCCTAACAAGACACGTTTCGGGCAATGCCAAAAATCAAGTGGCTGAAAATTATACATCGCTCGAGGACAATTATAATTTTTCTGGTTTAAAATTCCCAACACCTGTGAGGGAAATAAAAACATTTGAAAAAATAATCCGAAAATATCAGTCAACGTTTATGGATTAAAAAAAGAAAAGAATAAGAAACATAGTGTTTATCCACTTAAGGTTGTGGATGAAGAAAAAAATATCATTCTGATCTCTTACTAATTACTGATGGTAATAAAAGCCACTACACCTACATTTCTAACCTTTCGAGACTTGTGAGATCACAAAAAACATCACACACCGAAAATGTTGTATTTTGCAAACGATGTTTTACCAGTTTTGACAATATACATACAAAATATAAGTTAAAAGGTCAGGCGGGGCTTGAACAACATAAGTTGATATGTGGAGCACATAAGCCAATTCTGCCTAAGATGCCTGAGCCCGGTACATTATTGCAGTTCGATGGGTGGAGTAACGCTCAAAGACATCCGTTCGCTATATATGCCGATTTCGAGGCACTCCTTGTTAAATGTGACGAAAGAAAAGGCAAGAAAACAGCCGCTTTTCAAAAGCACGAGCCAATGAGCTATGGAGTTTTCGTAAAGGCTTCAGAAAACGTCCCCGTTGAGTTGCTTGAGAAATATGAGATACCAACATCAATTATTATTCATCGCGGAAGCGAGTCACATCAGGATGTAGCCAAACGTTTCGTTAATGAAGTGCCAGAGATCGCGAGAAGAGTTCAAGATTTACTTAAAACAAATAAACCCATCATAATGACAAAAGAAGAGCAAATAGCACATGTATCGAAAAGTACTTGCAATCTATGTGAATGTAATTTTTCTAACAAAAACCAAAAGGTAGCAGATCACTGCCATCTATCAGGAAAATTTAGGCAAACTTTATGCAATACTTGCAACCTGAAACTCCAAAAACCTAACTTTGTACCGTGCTTTCTACACAATATGTCTAATTACGATGCACATTTTATCGTGACCGAACTCGGAAATGACACTAAATCAATCTCAGGGATTCCGAACAGCGAAGAAAAATACATTTCATTTTCTAAACACGTTACCAACAACTTTTCAATTCGATTCATAGACTCTAGTCGATTCATGGCATCAAAGTTATCAACACTCGCAGAAAATTTATTAACACCAGGGTTCGAGAAGTTTAAAGAAACCGCAAAAGCATTCGTACCCAGAGATATGAATCTCGTCACACGTAAGGGTGTATACCCTTACGAATTTACCGATAGTTGGGAAAAGTTAGAAGAAACAATTTTGCCTCGAAAAGAAGATTTTTACAGTTCACTGCACGAATCACATATAGACGATGAGGAATACGAACACGCAGTCACAGTATGGAACCATTTCAAATGCAAAACCCTAGGAGAATATAGTGATTTATATCTAAAAATTGACGTGCTGCTGTTGGCTGACGTGTTCGAAAATTTCAGAGACATGTGCATTTCTACGTACAATTTAGACCCTGTTTACTACTTTACAGCTCCAGGTTTTAGTTTTGACTGTATGTTGAAATATACCAAAGTCAAACTAGAATTACTCTCTGATTTTGACACCCACTTATTTTTCGAAAATTCAATCCGCGGTGGCCTCACACAAGCAAGTATGAGGTACGCTAAAGCTAATAATGAAAAAATCCAAGATTATGACCCAACAAAATCCAAATCA